CGTGTCAAATGTTAATGTTCCTGTCTAAACCAAATAACACAATCAAGTGATTCATCTTGTACTTACTTACAGAGCCGTTCCTATCTTTGCATCCAATTATTTGTATCACATGATCTCCTTTTGATCTATCCTGGAATCTTTCCTTATTTTTCCACAGATAATACGCACGTATACTTTGCCTATATAAGACATCAAATCATTCATTCATTCATTAGTCCTTCTTCCTTTGAGGTTATGCGTTTTAGTTTATTTTTTGTGTTCCTTGTTTCTTGTTTTTAATATTCTGTTTTTATTATTGCTATGATTTTATACCCAAGTTTGTGGTTCTAATAAACGATCGAACGATTCCTACTGTCCACACATTCCAATAAGGTAACCTGTTTTTGCTGCATATACAAATCTGAAAGTAACAAAGAACAAACTCTTGAATCAGTCATTTTTACTTTCTTCAACAAGAAAAATTAAATGATTTACGTGTTTGTTTACGAAGATTCATAAATAATATATCATATATGGAATAAAATTGTGGAACATGAAAAATTCATTGCTCGATGAACTTGGATAGGAGACAAATGTAAATCGATCACTAATTTCATGCTTATTAAAGGTAAAATATTCCTTTGTGATTACTATCAGACTTGAAAATACTAACAATGTACTACACAGAATGGGAAATGTATGACAAGCAGTAGTCTATTGAAATTTGTTTCTTTGAATTCATTCATTCTAATTGTTTCTTTGATCTCTAACCTATTGGAGTGAGAATGTTTGCTCGCTAAGTTATTTCGAAATGGTTTTGAATAGAATGAAACATTCGAATTTATGCTTAAACATTTCTTCTAAATGTAAGTGAGCAATCGTAATGTCATAAATTCATCGTTTGTTCAGGCGGAAATTCTGAGCTTTCGGACTGGCAGCATGTGATAAGCGTTCAGGAAGTGGTTGATTCTTTGTTTCCGGAATGAAGATAAGATAAAGCAGCAAATCGGATAATGCAAACAGAATTAATGCTACGAATGGCGCAGGTGTCCAAAAGTCAGCCTATAACTTTGAAAATGAATTCAAATATAGGATACAATCAAAAGATAATTGCACATACATTACTTTAAAGACTATGCTTTTTCATTAAAGCTTACTTACCAGAAAAAATAACTGAGGCGAGAGAACAACACCAATACGGCCGATAACTTGCAGGAACGAAAAGCACATACTGCGTAACGGTGTCGGGAACAGTTCGTTTCCGGACATACCACTTATTATATAAATTTGACTCATCATTGCAAATGCCATCAGTGATGCAATTCGCGAAAGAATTTCTAACTGAGTACTAAGTCCTAAAATTAAAAACAAGAGATTAACAATGATCAAAACATTCGACTATAGTAAAAGGGTAAAAGACAAACATTAGACCGGAGAAACAAAATATTTCGTTTAATTCATCAGAATATTTTCCTTCTTTTTTTCCATTTTTAATGATAAACAAAATTTTAATTTTACATATGATTTTTGAAAATCGCATAAAAAATCTAATTTAAATATTAAGATAAATTTCACCTGAACAAATAATAACAAAATGAACAGTAAATCCAATTGATGTAAGTGCTAATGGTATTGTATGCGCAACCCTTCGTCCATACCATCGTTGTGTATAATCAGTAAATGCTGAAGCAATATTTATACCATATCTGCAAATTATCATAATTATACTAGCGATATGCATTCGTAATTATATAATTATTATCATTAATAGATCTTTTTTTCAATCAAATTTTCAAAAAATTTATCAATCCTTGCTCTTTTTCAGTGATAATTTATAATTTAAATGATATTAGTAAAAATATTCGAAAGCTTTCTTTGTAGCTAAACATTGATAAGTAAAGATGTTGGCATAATTGGTTACCTTATTAAGCCAAGTATAATATTATTTGTGTAAATTGAGCCAGGCAATTTTTCCATACTGAATAGCATACCATAATTTATCAAACTTGCTGCCAAACTTAAAAAAAACTTTTTTTTTCTTCAAATTTTTTAAGACAAGTATAATATTATTTGTTTAAATTAAGCCAAACAATTTTACCATAGTAATAGAATTAATATTTTCAAATTTAGAATAAATATTACGTACATCGATATGATTAAAAATCATTTTAATATGAAAAATAGTCAGCGGTAAATGAAAAATAACTTACAAACTATAGGATAAAACTAAAATATAGATAGTAAGTTGACGGGTATGAAATAAATGATAAATATAGTAATTTTTCCTTCTTTTTTCACGTAAAATCTAAAATTAAAAATCCAAAATTGAGATTTGTGCATGAAATTTTAGCACTAGGCTATTTATATTCTTATTAGAATAGAAAACTGTAGTGAAATGTCCGCTGCTGATACAGAAAAGGAATAATATAATTTTTTTAACTATTAACAGAAGATATATTGACTACGTCACGTCAAATTCTTAAATACTAACTTGTGAAAATAAGATAGACTACGATAGCTATAGCTGTCATTAATTAATGGATTAATAGTTATAGATGAAAAATTTTTCGACATTTTTTAGGTTTCACATATTCATATGTCTTGAGTTTATTACATTTTTAAATTTTAAAAATTGAATAAAAGCAAAATAAAATGAATTGACTTGTTTTTCTGCACCGATAACTTCATCGATCATTTCATTCGTGACATCATTTCGACCATTCCAACGTGTAATTTGTTTCAAGACGTTATGCGCTTCTTCGATACGTCCCTTCTGAATCAACCAACGTGGTGATTCATACGACAAACTGAAAAATATTTTTCATTTATAAATAACTTAAAGAATTCATACATTTTAAAGTGTGCTACAATTTTCCTATAAAAATAAATTTTAATATTTATAATTGACATTTCTCATTTTCACATACAATTTGTTAGGATGTGTTTCAGTTTTAATTATTGAACTGTACCAGCTTGTGCAGCATTAAGATTGGTAATCAATATTAAATTATTTTATTCAAAATCATTTTTCAGTATTTAACAAATTCAAATTCAATCTTTTTCCATTTCTTTTCTTTTGATCTTTTTCTCTATCAGAAATTTCCTTTTAAATAATTGATTTTCGAAATTTGTAACAAAATTATTGAACAATGCTTTTTAAAGCGAACAACAGTTACTTTAGAATTTCGACGAATAAACGGTCGTTAGATGGATTATTGTAATAATACTTCTATACTGTGATATATTAACTTTAATCAATTGTTCCTAATAATTTGCAATATTATAACATTATTATAAGTTACAACATGTGAGTAATATCATAAATTATTTTACTTTTATTTATTAATTCGAACTGAAAATGGAAAATAAATTTAAAAATAATTTATAGCAAACATGCAAAAAAGAATAGCTGGCGATGTTAAAACACTGATAATAATTGCTAATTGTCGCCAATTTTGACTGTAATATGCCATCGCAGCTAATAATATCACATTTGGTGAAAATGAAATAAGTGTTGTGATCCAAATACGATCCTTTTTCGGTAACATTTCCACTACATATACAAACATAGCACTGAAAAATAAAATTTAAATTAAAAATTGAAATTACAATTTATTGATTACATTGATTTCATCCATAATTCTTACCAGATGCAAATATATGATTTCATTTTCCACACAATTTTTTCTTTCTCAATAAAAATTTTATTAACATGTAAATTATCAAATTATCCTCCTTTTACAATTGACAATGAATTTAATTTGCTGGTGTTTTGAAACGATAGAAAAAATCATCACGCTATTTGTCCACCATTAAAAAGTCCAATAATGGTACGGTAAATAGTAGTTGTAAGTAAATCTTTAGGGAGAGATGATATAAATCCAAATACAACACAACCCGAAACGCAAAATGATAATGTCTGAAAATAAAATGAATGTTATTAAAACAATGAATGCATTAATCTCATCAAATTTATCAGACTTGAAATGTTTATAATAATCAATTTATATTTGAAATGATTATAATAATCAATCGAAACATATACATTTTCAGTTCCTAATTCCAATAATAAAAAAATTTAGTAGTTGCAAAATGATGAAATACGTAGTATAGTATTATCATTCTTTATCACTTCAAATCATTTTAATACATATCATATAGAAATAATCAAATAAAAGTTCATTTTAAAATCATTTACTGAATGTTAACAGTATTTTTTAACGATTATCGGAAAGTCCCTTTAATTTTATCATATAATTTGAAATAGCATTGAAAAGCCATTAAGTTTAACCCTTTTTTATTTCAAGAAAAAGAAAAAGGGAAAGAAATAGATTTACTACCAGTTTTCTCCCATACAAATCGCTAATCTGTCCAAAAATAAGTGATCCAATAACAGCACCAATCATTTGAGTCGATATGCTATGCTTTATATATTTCGAATTCTGACAAATATATTCGAACTGCAAATTAGTAAATTTTAAATGCTTAGAATTCGTCAATTACTAATATTAAACATTTTTTATTTTTCACCAAATAACGAACTTTTTCCTTTTTCAATCTTTTTTTTTTCATGCAGGAATTTTTTACTCTTAAAAAGAAACAAAATTTAATTCAAATTTCGAAATGATAATATTCGCTTACTATCATATCGAAAATTTTTTTTTCGCTAATTTTATTTATTCAAATGTATTTTTTTAAACGAAAGAAATAAAATTTATTTCAAAAGTAAATTTTATGTTATCACTTCAAAATTGCCATGCCTCAACATTCATTGATTTAAATTCGTATTCCAATTCAGGTTTGCATGTTTCATTTTTATTTAATGCATAAATTTGGTTGCAAATATCAGTTGAACTCATTGTTGAATCAAATTTATACGAACCACAACTTTTAATGGTTGGTGCTGCACCTAAATTTCAAAATAAATTACAAAAATTTAAAGCATAAATTGCAAATCATAAATATTATTACATATTATAAAGGAAAAAAAAGTTGGTATAAAACTTTTGCATGAATTTCTGATTAACATTTTTATTTCAGAGGTCAAAAATTCACAATAACTTTTTTTAAAGCAAACTATTCAACAATCAACAAGAAAAAAATGAAGTTTTTAAATTTAATCATTAAATTTACAACGAATTATGTTATAAAAATTATTTCATACCCGCATAAACCATGTAAAACATATTGCCAAGTTGTGAAAGAACCAAAAATTCAGCGGTAATACATAAGAAAATAGTATAATGTCCAAGTCGTATCAATCCATCAATGGTAAATTTTTTTTTTGATGGAATTTGTTCAATCATTTAACAATTTGCCACCTCCTGCAATTATATAATGGAATAAATAAACTAACAAATTAATATTTAATTTTCGAACTTTAAAATTCAACATTTACCAGTTAGTAATGGTGAAATTATAAACTATAATTGATTATTCTAGAAAAATCGTTTATTTAAAATAATTTTCCATTTACATTAAAAAATTCAATTTTAGCTAATTTCATTTCTTTTATCTTTTTTTGCAAGCCTACAATCTAACATTAAATAAATATTGTAGTAAGCATCGAATGAATAATACTTTCTTATTTCCTTTCAATTATTTATCTTTTTAATTTCTCTTTCGTTTTATTTCTTTTCGTCAAAAATTTTTCTCCCTTTAACATTTCATCAAATTTGTCGTTTTTACTTTACTTTTAAAAATAAAATTTTTTATTGCAATAAAAAAGGAAAAAAGTGATAGAATGTTTTTTCATGGCACCGACAGAAATATACATTCTGACAGATTGATTTACGAAATTGTTTTTCAAATTTATTTAGCAATGATTGATTCAATTATAAATAGAACAAACAAATTGTTGAATATTTCAATTATTATATGTTTTTTAAATAAATGATATCTGTGAATGGGAAAAAAAAATTATGTTTCTCTGTTGAAAGAGCAAAGTCAATAAATTCAATCAAATTGAAGCAAAAGAGATAACAAAAGAATTAAAAGAGAAGAAAATAAAAAATTGATGGAGTAGTATGAATGCAAACTGACGAGAAAAAAAAAGCTTCAAACAGATTGCTCGAAATTTTCAGTTTACACAAAATGCTAATAGTGAAATGTTAGCAATGATTACACGGCAATGTTTGATTTCGAAAGAAGAATAGTATAATTATTGTATAAATAAATATTAAAAAAAGAATATTGCATTTAAAACATACGAAATTGAAATTTAACTTAAAATAAAAACACAGCACGTGAGGGTGCAGAACTTACTGATTATTGTTATATCAAAAATATTGATTTTTTTAATTGGACAGTAAAAGTTACATTTTTTTTTTATTTGGAGCAATATAATATTATTGATTGGGGAGGAAAGAATTATTTGAAAATATAACTTTTTATCGCCAAACAATTAAACAATAAACTGCAAAATATGTAACGAAATTGATCAAAAATTAGTAAAATAAGTGATCATTTCAAAAGTCAGAAAATATTGAAAAAAAAAGATTAGACTGACAAAAAATACCAAAAAATATTACAAAAATAAACATTAGCAATAATTGCTGGCGTATAATGCTTTGTAAATTATTTCTAACTCTAATTTAAATTTTGACTGAAACATATTTAATAATTTAATTTCATTTAGCATTTGCAGAATATTGTTTGCATAATTTTTACATGTTACCTTTTTTTATGAATGTATTTTAAAATTGTAAATTTTATTTCGTTTAACTGATATTTGTTGATTTACTGAATATGCAAATTATAACATGTAATTTTGAAATGAGGTCTAGCGATTATTTATGACGGAATTCTATCCATCAATTTTATAAAAAACATAAAAAGGAAAAAAAAACACTTGTAAGCCCTTGAAAAATGCATAATCACTTAATAACAACGTTGAATATAAAACGAAAACAATAATTTAAAGCGAAAAATTTCATTGCAAATGCCAATGGAATACTAATAGATAGTCATTAAACATTATGAATTTTTTGATTTTGTTGTATTTATGTAAATATCTTTTGTAATCTTCATCAGTGAATATTTTAGTGAAATTCTAACAATACAGCCTAATTTTCAAAATTATTTTACGAGCTAATTTTTAGACACCTGCGCCATTAGTAGCATTAATTCTGTTTGCATTATCCGATTTGCTGCTTTATCTTATCTTCATTCCGGAAACAAAGAATCAACCACTTCCTGAACACTTATCACATGCTGCCAGTCCAAACGCTTAGAATTTCCGTCGGAACAAACGATGAATTTATGACATTACGATTGCTCACTTACATTTAGAAGAAATGTTTAAGCATAAATTCGAATTTTTCATTCTATTCAAAATCATTTCGAAATAACTTGGCGAGCAAAAATTCTCACTCTAATAGGTTAAAGATCAAAGAAACATTTAGAATGAATGAATTTAAACGAAAAGATTTTAACACACTTTTTTAAATTATGAAACTAACATACAATTTCGGAATGAATTTAATTTGAAATCAGATGTGAGGAAATATGAATTTGCATAATCTCTTTATCGCGTTATAACAATTGGAAGTGGTGGCATTTCACATGAAAAAGAAATTGTTAGAATTAGATTGATCAAAAGTCATGCATTCCCGGAAATGCATTTGTCGCTCTCCGGAATGACGTTATCAGATGTCATTGGGATATTTGCTCAGCCATTTGATTTTCGGGACTTTTGCGTATTTTTATCTGCGAAACAGCATTTTGTACAATTTCATGTAAAAATAATCGCTTGTTGAAGTTTGTCAGTTAATTGTTCTGTAATAAATATAAGCCATTTTGCTTGGTTGGTATTCAAAATAGAGAAAGGAAATTTTATTAATTTTTGTTGCGATAAAAGAATGTCCAATTGTTCACGTGATTCCCTTTTCGACTTCCATTTTGATATTTCAGGAAACATTATGCCTCGTTCCACAGAAGTGAAATAAAATGTTTTAAAAATTGAAATTGTTGTAGCATTTATTGTTTTTTTCGCTATTTCTCAATGCTTTCGAAGATTGTCGTCGGTGGGTGCTAAAATGTCGCAGTTAACTTGCATAATTTTCTGCCGGAATATCATGTAATTATTAAAATACAATCAAATTTTTAGTGTATGAATAGTTTCATAAACAACACAAATCTTAAAGTTTGCATTGAAATTAATAAACGCTTCAAAACATGTGAGAATCTGTTAAATTATCATTGTTTTTCAAATTTCAAATGTATTATTAAAAAAAAAAAATATTATTTGCAGCCAAGTCGATATTAAACTTTACTTAAATGCCATTTAATATTACTCTAAATTGCTTTCCATTCCGGTGAAATAACAGTTAACTGATAATATTATGTGGTAAAATACAAACTGTTTCATAAGTTGTTACTTAATTAGTGATTACTGGTAATTAATGATAGCGTCTAATATACATTTTCAAGATTTATTCTGCCTTA